CCCAGTTTTGGTTTGGCCGTATTTGGAGCAGGTCTATTAATGAGAAGAAGTTCAATGTTTGTTTATATTTTTATGCGTGTTTCATTTCTTGTTAATTTGCTGCTCATCGCTTAGTGGAGTCAACAGGTTATTGACTGATTATGCCCATGGCTCTATCTGCATGCCATTATCTTGATTGGCTGATTACACACAGACAAACCAACACACACACACACACACAGGTGCCATAAACGAAACGAAAACTTGATTTTTATCTCTCTTTAATTTGTCATTTAAAAGCTGTTGTTCTTTTCTTCCTCGATAAAGATATCTGCATATGAGCATTGGAAATGCTAATTCGCAATCTTATCTGTCAATGGGCATCAATGTTTTTAGTTTTCAGTTTTTATTGTTTTGGAATTTGTTTGGTATTTTTATTATTATTTATTTCGTGATAAAAGTTTCCATTGTTGAGGTAGCAACAGGTTTTTTCTCTCTCTCCTGCCACAATAGATAAACGCTTCTTTGGGTGAGCTCAATGCAAGCCATTTCAATGCTTGCTCTATATACATAGATAGATATTAAAATATTGCACAATTCGCAGAAACGTGATGTCATAGCGAAACGCAACTGAATCGAGACAAATGCTATTCCCCCTCTCTCCCTCTCTCTCTCGCGCGCACGTTTCGCTAGCCCTGTCTCTGTCGCTCTCATTTGCTTATGCAATATTTATCGCAACTACAGCATTTTTCATTCACATAATACTTTTTTTACAGAGCTTATTTTTTTTGGTTTTCAACCTAAACAAAGAGAAATTTTTGTATTTGTTTAATTAAAAGTGCGAACTCTTTTTTTTTTATGAACATTTGCCATAAAAACTAACAGCAACAACTTATGCTGGTCAAGAGCGCTTAAGACTTGTCTCTAAATGCTGTTTTCATTGTTGTTGTTGTTGTTGCAATTTTCCATTACTGTTAAAGCTGCTGCCGCTGCTGCTGCTGCTGCAGTCTAATTAGGCCAGGAAGCAATTTAAGCGCTGACTGTGCTTGGTTTAATACACCTGAAATAATCTGTGGGTAGTTGCTTTTGTTTATACACATATGTATAGGAGACAGTCAGTGCCCCCAGCTATTAGAAAAGTTGACTGGGTGCATATTTAATGTGGGAAAATTCATAAAGTCTGTTAACTGCCCGGAACCCGCTTTTGATGTTGATTACCCGCCAGCAGCAGCCAAATGGCCAGGCACTTATAACCTAATGGCAAAATACATATATATATATAAGATAATACCAGTATGAAAGTACGACTATCATGTATCTGTCCCCTAACACCGCCCCACCCACTCAGATGGCTCGTCGCACTTCTTGGAAATGCGCAACTTTCACTGCGCCAAACAACGCCCATAAAAAGACCCAGCGAGCAAACAGATTCAAGCACAGCCAATCGACATTAAAAGACAGACGCAGCGACAGAGAGACGGACAGATGGCGACGAGAGTGCGACAATTGACAATCGGCAATACAAATTCAATTAACGTGAAAATGTCGAATGCTTGAGAAAATGAAATAAAGACAAAACGGAAACATTCAAGTGAAAATCAAGTGAAAACCCGCAAGAACAATTGAGCATGGAAAGCTGAATGTAGCTTGATAGAGAGCCGATAGCAATCTTATCTATAATTTACCCAAATACACAGTAGCATAATGCACTTATATATACTTCAATACTCGACTCTATACTCTAACCTAACATATGTATGTATGTATATAATTATATTATATGATATCATTAAATTTATATTTACACAAATTTTACTTGTATTTATTCATTTGTTATTTATTGAATAATTATATTTTTGCTTATTTATTGTTTATTTCTTAATATATTACATTTTATACATTTATAATTTTTATACCCTGAACCCATTGAAAATAGGAAATCAGGGTATAATGGTTTTGTTTTTATTTAATGTTTATATACTTATTTGTTTATTTATTGTTTATATTTTAATATATTACATTTTATTTATTTTTTATATTTATTTTTTTTAATATTTATATACTTACTTGTTTAATTATTCTTTTAAAAATATATATATTTTTTAGATTTATTAGGACTTATATATTTTTATTTACTTTTCATTTTAATTATTTTATTGATTTTTCATTTTAATTATTTTATTTATTTTTCATTTTAATTATTTTATTTATTTTTTATTTTAATTATTTTATTTATTTTTCATTTTAATTATTTTTATTAATAAAAATTAATTTATTTTTTAAACTTTTTTATTTACATTAAATAAATATATTATTACAAATTTATTTTTATTCTAATTTTCAATATTTGTGCATATTTTATATATATATATATATTTATTTATTATATATATTTGTATATATATTTATTTATTGTAGTTATTTATATATACGTTTATATTTTATTCTATCTATTTATTTTCTATATATTTATACTTTCTTTTCAATTAATACTTTATGGATTAGCTATTATAATAATGTAATATCATATTTATACTCATGTTATATCAGCTAAATCATATTAAGCCTACATTACCCTTGACAAGGGTATTTCATTTGCAATGCTAAAGAAATACGCGATATTTTATAATTAAATTGGCCTTCTGTGAATGCAGTCGAGGGCTTTTAGTGTGGCCACCAAATTGCTAATGACTGGCTAGTGGGCGAGAGGGAGACTGCGTACGAGGGAGAGAGAGAGAGAGTGGGCCGAGAGGCATATTCCCCCCACAGCCAATTTGTCGTTTCGTTCGTTTCGTTCGGCAGCAAATGGCAGTCAGACAGACGCCTGCTGCTGGATTGTCACTCACTCGATCCGATGCGAGTCATAATGCAAAGCACATACTCGTCGAGAGCTATTCACATCTATCAAATCCTAACCGGTTTAAAATGATGCTGTGTGTATGAGTGTGCGTGTGTGTGTGTGTGTTTGATGGAATGTGCAACGCTTGGCTGGCGCATCTGTGCATGTGCATGCGCATGTGCTTGTACATGTTTAATTCATATGCAACTGCCTTGTGCATTGCGCAGTCGCAACTGTCAACTGTCCGACACATTGACCAATAGTATCCCCTCCCACTCCCCACCCCACTTCCCCATTGTGCACTCTGGTGCGCAACATCATTGGCAAGATTTGAATGCTTAATTATGTATGTTTTACAACAATTAAAATTTAATTCATTATTTCTTGTTGTGTGCATTTGGACCTCGGGTCAAGGTTTCGTTTTTCATGCTCGCCTCACAGCATAGATGTTCGATTCACTTGTAATCTCCGTCTCCTGCCCTCGCTCTTACTTTCGCTTGATCTGCGCGTTTGGCTCGTAACTTTCGCTTTTGCGTAATTCAATAGGGCCATAGGCCGAGGACCACATGATAGAATCACTACGGTTCAAAGTAAGACGCGGTGCTATAAATACTCTACAGCTGGCTTAGCTTATTTGGGTAATTAGTTAATGCATTGAAGATTAACTCAGTTTTATTTTGAAATTTTGCCTGAAGGCTTTTGTCACTCTGGCTTAATACAATTTGTTATCTAGAATTAATTCTTGGTAATAATAAACAAATAAATAAATAAATAAAATATTTAGAAATTTAATAAGTTATCGGAAAGCAATTTCAACGTAATATAAGAGCTAGTATTATAAGAAATAAAATGTTCTATTTATTAATATAATATTATCTAATTTTTTGTACAATCAATGAATACGTCTTGTCGCTTGCATGTTACAATTTTTTTCAGTAATAAATTTAAGATGTATATTTCAATACATCTCAATGTGAGATCTACATTTTTACCAAAATACAAAAAAAAAAATCAAGTAATTTGCTTGCAACAGCAGCTGTTTAGCTTGCAATGTTGTTGACCCACAAAATGCAGCATGGATAAAAATCTTTGTAATTACGTGTAAAACAAACTGCGCAGATGAACAGCAACAACAACAACAACAGCAACAACAACAGCAGCAGCCGCCAAAGAGATGCCAAGCGTGAAATTTGCAGCTGTTACAAACGGGATTTAAGGCCAACTAGGCAACAACAACAACAACAACAGCTACTACTACTACTACTACAACTGGAGTTTTTAAGAGGTGCAAACATCTTGTACAAACAACCTCCTTTTGTAGAGCGCAAACCAAAAAGCAAATAGCCAAAAAGGTAATCAGCTGATGACCAGGGAAATAATTAGTCAAAATGAAGAGAGCAGCAGGCGGCACTTGAGAAGAACCAAAAACAAAACAAAAAAAAAACAAAGCAAAAAAAAGACATAATCATAAAGACAGACAGACGGGCAGGCAGACGCGCATTAAGACTACATTATGCATACATTCGAGAGCTGAGACAAACCACTCAAGCGGGCAGACAGACAGACAGACGAGTAGACGGGCAGACGGGCAGACGGGCGGACGGGCGGACAGATAATCTCTTTTCTGTCGAGAAGAGCGTTGCGAAGACAATCAAATCCAATATAAGAGAGATTTGTATTTTTTTTTTTTTTTTTTTTTTTTTTTTTTTTTTTTTTTTTTGCTGCTGATTATAAATTTTCCTACATAGCTAGGTAGATACGTGTATATATCGATATATATAATATACAAAAAAAATATATATATATAAATATATAAAAATATATAAACAGAGAAGCTATGGAAATAATATATATAATATATATATAATATATATATAAAAATATATATTTTTTAAAATAACTATATACATATATGTGTATATAGTTATTTTAAAAATATAAAAAAAAATATCCACTTTTAACAGAAATTAATAATTATTTCGATGGACAAAAAAGTTCAAAAAAATTATATAATTTACTACATTATTTTTAAATATTTAATTTAATATTTCATCATTATTTAATGCACATATACCATCCCAATGACTCCACCTACAATTGAATAATATACATACATACATATGTATATCAAATTTTACCTATGTATATGTATTTCAGTGGCTTGGCGATTGCAGCATATTACGCTGCCAACAGCAGTTGGCTATGAAGATACCTTTGTACACTAAAAACAAAAAAAAAAAGAGAGAGGAATGTTTAGCCTGGTAACTGTCAACTTGCTGTTTACGTTAGGGGTGGGTACCGAGCGAACCCTCCACAAGGTTGGGCTGACAACAGACACAGGCCAGGTATAAAAACCAAGCACGCCAGCAAAATCAAGATCAGCCACACGGGCAGGTAGCTAGGCCACAAATAAGGAGCGAATATCATAAAGGAGAAAGAGAGACAGAGGGAGAGAGAGAAACGGTGAGAAGGTAAGCAGGGTCGGTGCACTGGCGCAGAACGTGGTGAGTGTGAGCGAGTGCTGGAATAGCCGTTCTGTTTCAGTTTTATGAATTATACCAATTGACAATTCGAGGGCAGCATTCCAGAGCTGAATAAAATGAAATAAAAGTACAGTCAGTCATTCAAGAAGATGCCCAAGCAAACGCACCCTGTTGCACAGTGTGCTGTTGCTCCTTGTTGGGCATTGTCGCACCTTTGTCTCGCACACTTCTGTCCATCAATAGATCCATCAATCAATCATGCGCCACTCGGCATACCGAAAGATGAATATGAAGAGTCAGCGCGAATCATATATGTAGCCAAAATGTTTCGATTATGAGTTTCGAGTGCCTGACTCAGCCTACCCAAAAAAAAACAAAAAGAAAGAAAAGAAAACCCCTCCCATAATCTCTTGATGATGCTGTTCCCTGCTAGAGAGCCAGGCCAATAAAAGATATATAGAGAGTTCTGTCAAAGATATCCATTTGCTTAGCTGTGAACTGATTGCTAATGGATTCCTAAGAAATTTCATTACTGAATATACGAATTTGAGAAAAATATATATAGAAATATAACTAGATTGTAAAACTATGTCAACTTCAGACTTTTATTTGCATTGTAGAAAAAAACTTGTGGGAAATAAAATGGTTTAACAAGTCAAGAGGAATTTTCTAAGCAATTCCCATTCTTCATATATATTACAAGAAACACCAACTCTTAATCGGCATTGTCAGTTATCTATGCTATTTAAATTAAACAAATGCCTTACTATAAGCATAACATCCAAGCATTCTCCTCATTAAGTTTCTGCTATACTTCATACTGACGATATATGTATTTTCTCTGACTATAATAGCATTCCCAACAATATCGAGGGATTCTCCGATTGTAGTAGCTCATTCTTTGTCACATATGCCAATAATCCCAGTTATATACGCAGAGAGGAGCTCTGTTCTTTCTCTCCGTTCAGTTGGAACTGGGAGTTCTTTGAGCCAATGTTGTTGTTGTTGTTGTTGTTGTAGGTAATGCGAGCCCTGTGTGGAATGTGCGGGAAGAGACTCGACCGCAACGGCTACAAAGAGAGTGAGAGAAGAGCGAGATAGAAGAGGGTCTATCCTACAGTGGGAACTGGAAATGAATTTCATGAATAGCATGCAGCACTTTGCTATACTACTGGGCAGTCACTCGAATGGATGAGGGCGTTGTTTGTGCAATTGCGGTGTTTCCACCTCCCTCCATCCCACCCCAGCGCCCCGCACTTTACACCAAGTTGTTGTCGTTGTTTGCTTGGTCAACAACTTTCTCACACGCCAAAGACGAGGCACATCAACCAGAGGCGAGACGAGATGAGACGAGACGGCGGAAGGCACAAGCTGTCGTAGATCTCTCGAAATGCATGAAACCGCACACAAAATGCAAATAAAGTGGAACTTTATGTGTGCTACACACATACGAGTATATACGAGTATATATGTACATATATGCATATAAGTATATAGATCGGGACTCGGACAATAGCTCACGGACAAACATTCAGCTCAAAATCACGGTCAGGCAGTAGACAAACAAAAACAAAATGTAAGAAGAAGAAAACAAAACAAGTTTCGCTGTTGGCGCATACGATTTGCGAAACGGGTTTCCAGCTTCCAGTCAGCAGGGGCGGCATTGGGCGTGGCACTGACCGCACTAAATCAACCCAAATGTCTAATCCATTTGGCGCTCCTTTTCCTTTTTCACATTTTGTTGAACTAATACGGAAAACAATATTTAGGCATTGTAGAGCATTATATAGAGAATAGGTTTAGTAGAGTTTACTTATTTATATGCATTTTCTGATGCTTAGCCTACATATACTTAATTTTTTTTAAACTCTTTCCTTTATTAGAAAAGGAACAAAAATTTGCAAAAATTTTTAATCAAATTTTCTTATAATTTCTCTAATAATTTCTCTATAGCTAAGTTTCAAATGGATCTTAAATTTCTACATTTCATAAACGGAAACCGTTCGTTTTTCTCTATTTTTTGCCCACTTATTATTTTTAATTTCGCACGAATTGAACGCAATTTGAAATTCCAATTTGTTTATAGAACAGCTAAAAGCAAAAGGCAACAGCAGCAGCAACAGCTGCGCCGCCAAAAAGCTCGTATTTCCAGCTAAGGCCAAAGCATAATAAACTATAATTTGTGCAAAAAACAATAAGCCGTCAGCGATGCCGATTCCAATTCCAAATTCTGATACCGTAAACGATGCCAAAACGAAAGCAAAAGTAAACAAAAGCAAAAGGCAAGAGCCAACTGAAATCCGTTGCATGCATATGCCCAAAAATAAACATTCTGCGAGACTCCAATTACGAATTGTGAAATAGGCGCAAATGCGCAAACAAAAAAATCGTCGGGGAATCAACTTAAGTCAAAGTACAGAATATCATAGAATAAGCAATAAATAACTTGAGAGTTATGAAATATATGCTGGGATACTGGCTCCCACATTGGTTAAGGTTTACAGCTAAATGCTTCTTAGACAAAGAACAGCAACTGAATAAAAAATACTGAATTTAAAATTAAAATAAATTTTTAAAAATTAAGTAAAAATCAATAAATAAAAGTAAAAACATAAAAAAAAAAATATAAAAAATTAAAAAAAATAAAATAAAAGTAAATCGCAAACAAAAATATATACATACATATATATATATTTATATTGTCACGTTAAAAAGGTCTTGCTTGCTAAATAGAAATACGCATTAATTATGCTCTACTTATATTGGAATTCTCTAAAGCAGCTGGACTTATTAGTATGCATGTGTGCATGCGTATGTGTCTCAATAACTGTGGCCTACTCGAAAGTGCGTCCCAATTCTGTACTTCACACACACACAAACACACAGACACGTCTAACTAATATGCTTTTGATGTATTGTTTATCAATGGGCAAATATTTGATACCGAGTCTATGTCGTAATTAGATTAGCTGGCACCTGTAACTACACACACACACACGCACACACTCGCACGTGTGCCAGTTTCTCTCTCTCTCTCTCTCTCTCTCTCTCTCTCTGTCTCTCTTTCCGTCTGCTTGGGCATTTTTTGTTGGATTCATTCGGCCCACTTTTGTTGTTGTATTTCACTTGTTTTGATTTGTGTTTTGCTTTTGACTTTATTTAGTTTGACTTTTCATATTTGCTTTGCACATTTTCTTGGAATTATTTCGGTTTTGTTTACTCACTTTTTTGTTGGGCATTCTTATCGGTTTGCTCTAAATGCAATTGCATTGTTTGTAATATTCCGTGATATTGTTGTTATTATTGTTGTCTTTAGTACTTTTGTACTTTTATGGGCCAATACATATTTGGCTTATCTCTTGACGTTCTTTTTTTTTTTTTGGGACACGAACCACTCTTGTGCCGCATTTTTGATAACGCCAAGATTACAGAGAAATGAGCACAGTCTAGATATGAAATATATGATCATACAATGTGTTTATGTCAATATACATATGTATATGTTCAATATATGTACATAGATCAGGTCTATAATTACACCTTTTGTCAATCCAAAATTCGAGTGCTACAGGCTGTGTAAAACCTAAATTTATTTTCAGCCATGCAATGAGTCATGCAACGAGCCACAGTCCAAAGTTCATTGCACAAAACGAGCAATGGGCAAAAAGCAAAGCAAAGCAAATAAAGTCCGCAAAAATGAACAATTTCAAGGCGCCAAAACGGGCAAAGCTGTAATTTAGCGTGAAAAACAGACAATACTTCAAGCAAGCCAGCAAAACAAACTTTACTGCTAAAATAGCCAGCAAAAAAGATAGGAATATATATATATACATATATGTATGCGTATATGCATACATAAATTCCACTGTAGCGTAGTATATTCTCTTTTTCTATTCAAGCCCTTTTCAAGTTTTTTTTTGCAGCTCTGCAACACGAATAAATGGCTGCATTGGCTCTTCTTATAAGAATGACAGAAAGTAGTAGCTAATAGCAAATGCGCCATGCCGAAAAGGTAGTCTGCATAACACCCACCGCAGCGTATCTTGAAAAACGTAGTAGACTTGACTAGCATGTAAAACCTACGATACTAAAGTGAGCTTGTGTGTGACTGCGCGTGTTTGTATGCTTATTTATAAACCTGTTGTCAAAGAAAATAGCAACAGCAACAAAATGAGAAAAAAAAACGACAACAACAACGAGTTGCTGTTTGCTGCTGTAAAGCTGCACTAAAAATTCCGATCTTCCAGTCGTTGTTGTCGTCGCGCCGGCGCTCGGCTCCAATGGAGTGAGTTCCGTGCGCACAGCTCCGCGAGCGAGCGCGGCGGCTGCGCTCAAATAATAAAAACAGGTATAACTGTTTGCATTGGTGTGTGTGAGGGCGAGTGTGCGTGTGCATGCGAGTGTAAATGTGAGTGGAGACTTTTAAGAGCTGGGAGCCAACTAACCAGCCAGCCAGCAACATCTTCAACGAAACAGCAGAGCAAAATGTACGATGTGATAACCGTACGAAATGTACGAAGGTGAAACAGCAAAAAAGTAAAGCAGCAAAACACAGTAAAGAAGGCGAAACAACAACATTGAATGTCGACGCACCCTTTTCTTATTGTTTTGTTGTTGCTGCTTCTGTAGATTTTGAAGCGCAAAACCACATCCGAATTAACGTAGTCTCTTATACCTATGCAGATGGAAGCAGAACAACAACGAATGCAAGTATGTGAGCAAAAGAGCATTAAAAAAAATAATGTAGAGTATAGCGGGTGGCGTCCGACATTCTCCACAAATAAAAAAGCAAAATAAGTAGGCAAAATGCCGACGCCGTTGGAATGCGTTGTTGTTTCAGCTCTTGTTGTTGTTGTTGTTGTTGTTGCTAAGCCGGACATGGCAATTGTTGTTTGCTCTTGATAGGGGTACGCTAATAATAACCAATGCACTTAACGCTCAATTGGCAATAATTAAAAGCTGGAAGTTACAACAGTAAAAATTACAGCTTACCTTTTATGACGTTCCGCCGCGATATTTATATCCAAATTAGAACACGTCCAGGTAATCCCAGGCATAAATGAATACACAATTTTAAACCAGTAACACTACAAAAATTAGCAACAAATTTATTGCCACGCTTAATTAAATTAACGCAGCACTCAAATAGCTTTTAACTTTGTTACTGCACATTTTGACGCACAGATCACTAGGATCGAAGGCCAAGCCAAAAGATGGCTATTAAAGCACCTAATGCTATACAAAAAAAAACACAATCACTTCGATTTTCACTATTTTTTGATTTCGTACAATTTACGCATACACATTACACTTGTTGCGTTGATCGTGGTGCAATTTTTTGATTTTCTTGGAAATTCAACGAATTTGTCAAATGAACAAAGCGCGAAGCACGCGCGTAACACGTTTGAAAGCGACGACGTCTGAATTGGAACTCAATGCGAACGACCAAGCGAAAAGCAATGCTGGCGGTGCGAATCAAAACACAAAGCAAAACGAATACTTATCGATACCTATCGAGCACACAACTGTTGCGTGCCGTTAAGAGGTGATTGTAAAATGTAGATATAAGACTGAGTTCTTTAAAAATCTGATTTTGTAAAATAGAAATGTTCACTAACATAATTGTAATATAAGCTAAACAAGTATTTTTATTAAAAAAAAAATAATTACGTTACGTGAACGTAAGCACACGATATCTATCGATGAGCTTGTAGCAAATACAGGTTACGATAGTCGATATCAAGTTTATCAAGACTTTAATAAAACACTGTAAGCATAAACTTAATTAATAAAGAATAAAATAAAGAATAATATGAAATAATTAGTGATAATTAGAATAAAAGTTGCTGTACAACAAACAAATAATTTTGTTATAACAGAGAAGCCAACAAACAAAACAGCAACTAACAACAAAAACACAAATTATGCTTTAAAATGATTGAAATTAAAGCAAAATTAGTGCGTGCAGATTCAGCAATATATGCAACAGGCGAATGCGTTGAGTGTTTGATTGAATTCACGCACAAACTGTTTAGCGAGGAGCAGCAGCGAAATGCCAAAGCACCAACGTAAGAAATCGAATATTAAATAGTTTGAAAAAGTTAAATTTGAATGGTTTATTTCTAGCGTAGAGAATTTGGCGTGGGCCTCGGTGCAGCTCCATTGCTATAGAAAGACCAGCTACAGCACACATTCGACCGACAAGACAGCAGAACTGGCAGAACTCATAGGGCGCACAGCATTGGATGCAGTCACCCAAACGCCGGGCGAAGTAATTGTCGCAACCAAGCCGAAGATTCTCTTCTGCGACCTCAAGCTGCAGCCAGGCGAGACGAAGATGTGTGGGTGGGCATCAAGTTGACCAATCAAATCAATCATTAAAGGCTCCATTTCATTTGTAGACTTCTTCAATGAGTTTGTGCCGCGGGATGGGCCGCCCACATATCGCGGCCATGACATTCGCTACTTCTATAAGATCACGATTGCCACACAGCGCGTCAAGTCGAAGGTGCAGACGCTGACTGTGCCCATACGAGTGCTGCCCATTCCATTGATAGCTCGACCGGATGAGCTCCCCGTCACAGTGGAGACCAACGAGGAGCTAACGCCTACGAATCCATTTTTGGAGAAGCGTGAGATAAGCGAGTTGGAAATATCGTGGCATCATTTAAAGGTACTGCCTATTCCTGCTATTTTAAATGAATCTAAATCCTCCTACTCTGCTCACTTATAGAATGTGACGGCTCGACGTGCTCCAAAGTTTTATCGGATCTCGAACAAGCGTGGATTCGTTGGTCGGTTCTGTCTGTTCAAGCCCGCCTATAAGTTGGGCGAGGATATAGTGGGCAGCCTGGATTTCGATAACTGTCAGGTGCGTTGTGTCCAATTCTCGGTGAAGCTGCAGCAACAGGAACTGCCGCTGCGGCCGCAGCCGGAGCAAGCGCAACCAACTGCTGGCGACGATATTGCTTCACAGAGCTCCTTCGACATGGCAAGCATTGCCAGTGGCATAACCGTGGATAATCTGCACAAGTCGGAAACATCGGGTAGTGCACGCAACAAGGATGAACCCAAGCCCTTGGGCAAGCTGAGCACCATATCCACATCCCATCAGGTTGTTATCTAGCTAAATGTCTCTTATTTTATGCTAATTCTCTCTTATGAATTGCTTCCAGGTCTGCTATTCAACTCTACAGACACAGGTGGTTGTACCCATTCCACTGCACGTTACGCCCACATTTCGTACCGACCTGGTGGACGTGAAGTGGCGTCTCCATTTCGAGTTTGTAACCAGCACCATGATGGACTTTGGCGTACCGAATCCTCAGTCTGGAGAGCTAAAAGCGCCAGCTGAACTGCCCGTTGAGACAATGGTGTGGAATTTGCCTGTGACCATATATGCAGCAAATCCACTGCAGATATATGCGCCAAATCAAACGTATAATCTCCTGATAAAATAATAATAATAATATACACAAATTTGTTGCAATAAATAGTTTGTACATTTAACGAAATTCCGCGCCAAATGTGTTTTGAATAAAAACTATATGGCAGCACTCCACTTGCATTTATTGGTATGTTACTGTTTCTAACAGTAACATCAATTGCAAATATTGTATTTCTATTAGATCAAGGGACCAAGGGAGCAAATTAATCCGTTAATTACGCAGCAGTTGCATTTAAGAAATGTAAGCAAAAGAGCAGACAAGCGCACACCTATTCAAATAAATAAAAACTATGTGGCAGCACTGTACGGTTAACATAAATGACAATTAAATGCGTATGCTGTTAATAACAGTATGACAAATTTGTAATATCGTAGTCTCTGTTAAGTTAGTACTAAAATCAGTGTTGTCTAGCTCCAAACATACATAAAACAATTTTTTTTAACAAAAACACATAGCCAGAAAATATAAATCAAGAAAGTTTGAGTATATCTACAAAGAAGCATGTATCAGGAATATCTAAATCAATTAAATTCAACGCTCTTTCCGATGAGCTCCGACGAGCTGAAGGAGCTGCTCAACAACGATGACAAATTGGACGAAAAAGTCGATGAGGTGCTCGAATCGCTAAGGACACAAAAAGTTCGCTTCTGCGAAGAGAATCGCAGTCGCGCCGAAAAGAACATCGAGAAGGAGCCAAAGATTATTGAGCTGCGGGGCAAACTGGCCGAGCTCACCGAGGAGGGACGCACAAGGTGTAACGCCGTGCAGGAGCTGCTCACACAAATCAAGGAGAAGACCAGTGGCGTTTCCCAGGAGACGGCGCTGGCGCTGCTGCAGACGGCGGCGTCCGAGAGCGAGGAGCAAACGGAGGAGATCGTCAAGAAGTTCACCAGCAACGAGCTCAACGTGGATGCATTTCTTGAAGAGTTTCTCCGCAGTCGGCGCACTATGCACCTGCGCAAGCTGAAGGCCGAGAAGATGCAGGAGCTAATCCGCAAACAGGCACAGCGGCACAGCACAGGCGGACCAGGCGGCGGTGTACCTGCCTATGCCAATGTGCCTGGCACAGCCGGCGGCATCGGCAGTTTCTACCCGCCCTCACAAATGGGCGTGCCGTATCCTGTTATAGGTCCAATGATGCCCATGCCGCCGCCACCAAGACCCTATTGAGCCAGAGCGAGGACTTAGTTTATAATTTCAATAAAAACCCATACACAATTCGAAGATGCTGCCATCACAACCGCGGATGACTCATCCGAGTGCTTTGTTTACATTTTACGTGTTAAATTTATACATAGAGAACAAGGTAAAGTAGCTTAGCTAAGTTTTAATAAAGTGACACCCTCTTCGAGTTAAAAATCCTTCATGGTTTTCTTGTTTATTGTTTAAAATTGTTTCAAATATTAAATCTTTAAGTACATTCAGCTGATTCACAATTTTCTCTCATTTTCACTGTTTACACTAAAAGATTATTAAATATAATTAATGCGTAAATTAAGCGAACCGAATTAAATACAAATTAATTAAACTTCAGAGTGTGTATTAAACAGAATAGAAAAGATATATTAATTAGACAATAATTTATAAAGCGATAAACAATTCCTCGCATCAGTTTCTAATTTAGATCTTAGTTTAAATGAAGCCAAGGGCTAGGAGGCATGTGGATTAGAGGCTTAGTATAATGAATGGAAAGGATTTTTAGGAAGGATTGTGCACAGGCTTAATATATAAATATATATATTCATACATATATATATATATAAGTGATTGCTTTGCTTTTTAATTGTTTTGCTGTTATATTTAGTTCTCCCTCTTTAATTTACTGTTAGTCTTTTGAATTCCAACGCTTCGTTCTTATATGCATATATCATATATACACATATACATATTCAAAATGTTATATATAAAATATGTTCAACATTATCTCTGCGGCCGGTTTAACACTTTAAAAGGTTTCTCACTAAAACTATCCGTGTGTGGATGTGGTTGTTGTTGGTGTTATTGTTATCAAAAAATAGTTGTATATATATAAATAGATGCCTAGAATCGATGGAAATTGTGTGTTGCATGTAACGCCATCATGACGAACCGAATTCCATCATCCATTTCTCGTACTTGTCCAGATCTGCACGCGACACGCTCTTGTTGCAGCGACTGATGGCTTCGTTGAAGTCCTTATTGGACACCGGCAGATCCACCTCCTCGGTGGCCAGCTGTCGTATTTGTTCCGGCGTTAGGCCGGCGATCTTGCGTCGCATCGACATCATGCTGGCCTCCCTAAAACATGCGGAAATTCAATTAACGAAGAAGCACAAAGCACAGGATAAGATTCTAATCGTACCTGCACACATTGGTGATGTCAGCGCCGGAGTAGCCTTCCAGCTGATTGGCCACATAGTTCAGATCGACGCTATCGTCCACCTTCACTTCACGCAAATTGATCTTGAGCAGCGCCTCGCGTCCCTCATCCGTGGGCAATGGTATATAGATGCGCTTCTCCAGACGCCTGCGCAACGCCTCATCGATGTCCCATGGAAAGTTGGTGGCTGCCAGCACCATGACAACTTTGGCCTGCTCCTCCCCGCCGCCCACGCCATCCATTTGCACCAGCAACTCCGATTTGACGCGTCGCGATGCCTCGTGCTCCGATTCGGAGCCACGTCGCGAGCACAGCGAATCGATCTCATCAATGAAAATTGTGCTCGGCGCATAGAAGCGCGCCATCTCGAAGAGCAGACGCACCATCTTCTCCGACTCACCGCGATATTTGGATGTGAGCGTAGCGGAGCTGACATTGAAGAAGGTGGTGCCACATTCGGTGGCCACCGCCTTGGCTAGCATCGTTTTGCCAGTGCCAGGTGGGCCAACCATTAGGACGCCTTTCCACGGACGTCGTATGCCCTGGAAAATACATTAAACTCGTTAGCGTACAATTGATAAAGAGTGCACAGTGGTATAAATCGACATTTGTAGCTGCAAAATATATGAAAATCAGGAAATAAAAAACTTGATAAATGCTAACAATCTTAACTTATCAGACGATATTTTAAATGTTCCTATCAGGAACATTAAGAAGCTTGTTATGGAACAAAAGGAAACGCTTTATATGTGAGTGACAGACTATGCGATACCCTGTTCACAGCTATAGGGAATCTTTATATGCCTATGTAACATATATCAAAATAGATAAGCATTCAAGTCGAGCAATCTTACTATTTATACTATTTACTTAGCCTATTGCTCATTCACTGTCAAGTTTGTCTCTGCTCCTATCTTCTATAAAGACATCGAGGAGTGTGACAACCTTTTGTTGACACACTTTTGATTATTACAGGGCATATGGCGATTACAACAGCTAATGATGATTCAGCCTATGATGACGCACCTTGAAGTAGTCTGGCATCAACATGGGCAGCACAACGGCTTCCTCCAGCAATCGCTTGGCATCGTGCAGATCGGCAATGTCGCTCCACCGCACTTTCGGATCCTTTTGTAGTATATCGCGCTCTGTAGATGATGAGTGTGTCATTTACATGTGAGCTGGGCATGAATGTTCGTGTTTCGCTAAACTCACCCAGTATGTCCACCAGTTCGGCTTCGATGTGATTGTTCGGCTGAAACTTCCGCTCCTCTTCTGTAGCCTGCTGTTCGCTCCCATCGCCGTCCGCTGTGGAGCCATTGCTGACAGCCGCTGTCGCGTCATCATGGTTATTATTATTGTTGTTGTTGTTGGTACTATTTGAGGTGGACAATTTGCGACCGGCCACACGGCCGTTGGCGCCGCCGCGCGCACTGTTCGATGTGGAGGCTGATCCTCGACTGTTGCGCGCCGTGCCAGGACCGTTGCGGGCAGTGCTCTGTGGGATTGTGCTGGGTCGGCCGCTGTTTGGGGCGCCGCCTGCCGTTCGACGGCTATTTGTGGTGGTGGCACGTCGACCCACCTGCTGGACGGGCGGCGGAGGCTTCGGTGGTCCCCAGACATCGGGATCTTTCGGAGGCGGCGTCCATATATCCGGATCGGGTTTAAACCAGGCAGCGGGATCGTTCACATTGCTGTCGTCACTAAACTGTGCGCGCAGCTTATGGGCAAATTTAGTATTTTGCAAATCCAACGAAATGTCCTGCAGTGTGCGCTGTATGGCCTTTACTTTAGCATGTTCCTGATTGATTTGCTGAGTGATCTGCAATGTTGATACATGATATAATATAATTTATACAGTTAAAATAGCTTAGCAGCGTACACTCACCATGTTCCACTTGCCCTTGCGCATGGGATCCACGGTACTCTTTAGCAGGCGCGCCAGCATGCCCTACAATTAAAAATAGATTTTAATCAACATATACACATATGTAACAGTTTTGTATACCCTAGCAGAAGGCAAGACTTGTATGGTTTATGATATGTTTCTAATCAGTATGAACAGCTAGCTGTCCGTTGGGTCTCAACGCTTAAGCTATATTGATGAACCTTAACATATGTTGCGTTGTCTCTATAACGTAGATATGAGTTATACATAACTATAACTGTTGTATAATAAAACTGCTGAACAGAGTCTCGAATATAAAAACCACACTTCAACGATAATTTTCTCATAGACCCAGTCAATCAGAAATCGTGATTTTTATCTGTTTAAATAACCTAATACAAACTGTAAACCTTCTATGTATCATATAATATTACGTGCCTAAATAATATATAGGAAGATCCGATCTGTAGTCTGCTTGGGTATTTGTTGTTCTTGTCTGTGATCTGTCTTACCTGTAATCCCTCGTAGTATATGCAGGCCGAGTCGTAGTTGCCTGTCAGGGCCATGTCTCTGGCTAATTTGGCATTCTCGCATATTTCTTCAATTGTAGTTTTGGCCATTACGGTCATTCCTACGCAAGTGGTTGTCTTTTGCTTGCCACCTCGCAGTAACTGTTCAAAAAATCAAATAATATAAAAAAATCAGAACAGGTTGTTGTCGTTGTAACCAAAAACGAAACAAAGATTAGTCCCAATTAAAGACATAAGCATTGTTGTTGCTGCTGCTTAAGTGCGTAAGCTTCTCGCTCTCTCCCTCTCTCTTTCTCGCTCTCTCTTCGCTTCAACTGTCTTCGTATTTGCTCTCAGACAATAGAACGGAAGCAACGCAGCGGCTTTGTCACTCACTCACACAAACAAACACATACACAAACACACGCCACACATAGGCAGAGACAATCGGACACGCACACACACTAGCAGGTAAAAATGGAAAGTAAGTATTGGCCTCTCAAAATAACCGAAAATAATAAAAGAAGATAGCAATGGCAACGACCGAAGACAACTACAAATTTTACATATACATATATATATATACATGTACACGAACTGGTGACAAGTGCTGCGCTAATTATAAGCACAATTGTTCGACCCGTTGCCACTGTTCCTGCTGCTGCTGATGTTTCTGTTGCTGTTGCTTTTTGTCACCAAATTTAAACCATGGACGTGCAACTGCGCCGCGCTCCCATTTCCGAGTTGTTAGACCATAAGCTGAATCGGAATCCATTTGGCGAAATGTTATAAAAAAAATTATGAACCTTGCTGTTGACAAATAAGGCGCTTGACCTTGTTGAGTCGTCGTTGTCGAGGCTTTTAAATAATTCTTTCAAGTCAGCGACGTTAAAAAGTTGCAAAAAAAAAAAACTAACACACGCGCGCACTCTCGTACAAGCACACACACACAGACAAGAATGAGCAAAGAAAAAACAGAGCTCAAATTTCCGCGGCGTTTAAGTTTCGTCAAACACACACACACACACACGCACATGCACAAACAAAAACACTTATGTATATGCAGATGAACAGCCGTTGGCTGTTGTAGGCTTAAATGCACATAAAATACATGTTTTATAAGGAATTACGTTAATTAGTTACTTGTAATTCTGTATGCATTTTCACTTGCATTTTTTAAGAATTTAAATCTCGTATGCGCTACGTGGGGGCGTAAGCGTAGACAAACTTGTACAGTTTTTAGTCAATGTTCTCGTTAACCAGCTTACTTACAGTTATGGACATTAGTACACTGGCTTTGTTACACGGCGTTACGAGCTTAAACTTATTAAAAGACTATTTTTGTTTAAATTTAAAGGCAATGCATTAGATAAAATAAACGGGTGCTGCGACTTCTGCGGCAATTGTTGTTGCTTAATACTAACGCAATGACAGTGATGGCTGTTAATATCGAATGATCCCCGATATGCCGATATTTATTTAGATATCACACTCTCAAACACACAGAACACTAGATGCATGAAGTTTATTTTCTTTAATATATAGTACAGTTTTTTTTTATCAAAAAATTGAAGTATTTCTTCAGTTATTCGAAATTATAATAGATAGATATGAAAGTTTTTATTTTGAATTATCGTTCGTTTTCAACGCTGTGGCAACTTTGTTACTAAATCCAGTTGACAAAGTATTTAATGATTTGTACACAGTAAATTTAAACTTTTGATAAATAAAATTGTAAATTAAAAAAAATAAAACTGAAATACTACAATAAAACTAAGAAATGTTCTTATATTCTCACCATTCAAAGCAACAGCCACTATCGTTGATTTTTGCAATAGATCGATATACCAAGTGCCACTACATGCAGTACGGCATGTGCCAGCTCTAACATAGTTATTTAAAAAAAGCACGGCTCAACTGTATGACGATAGCTTGTTTCATGTCTGAACTATAAGTTCGTGTTTCTTAACTACGAAAAGTAATTAAAGAAAGAGACGTTTATATGGATACTTAAAGAAACAGCCAGACAGTTAAATTGACAACCTCAACATATCACACATCACTATATATGAATGACCTACAGCTTGAACGTGTCTGCGCCCCCCATAGATAACAAAAGAAGGAAACACACCATTTGAAGTCTTATTTATTTTTGGTTTAAGACTGCTTAAGAGAGGTATTTGTGTTTTATATTTAGCGCTTACGTTAGCGCCGGTTGAAGCATGACAACGCCCACTCGTGAAACTCTAGAGAAGGCTCTGAAAAGTGATGCCAAGCTTCAAGCAGCTGCAACACAATTTGCCAATGGTAAGCACACTTCGAAAACCACCTGCGGCCCATTTTAATTAAACGTATTTTTTATAACAGAGTTAGCTGGCGGCACCTACACCATTGCCGACCTGGCCGAACAGCTGGGTTTTGCGTTGACCTCTGCGGACACCGAGGAACGCGTTGCCGGCACAAATCTGTTGTCCGCTGTACTCAATGCTCTGCCCGGCGATGTCCTGAACTCCAAGCAGTTGGAATTTCTAACGACTTTCTACACGGATCGCCTGCGCGATCATCACAATGTCATGCCCGCCATAATTGTAGGCCTGAATGCTCTGGTGCACATGAAGCAGCTGCCAGCTGAGAGTGTGCCGCTCCTGTTGCAAGCGTTCTTCCAATATACGACCTGCCAGTCGCAGACGCGCGGCGACCGCACCAAGATATTCAATATGTTTAAGTACCTCACGGTGCATTACCAGCCTGGTGCGCTTTTATTACATATTAATTTTTACCTAAAGTAATTGATATATTTTGCCCTTCCCAGAACTTGTTAAGATGGCCGGCGACTTTTTGTTTGGTCTGATCAATTCGATTGATGGAGAACGTGATCCACGCAATCTGGATATAATTTTTAGTTTTATGCCCGAGTTCATATCACAATATCCACTTTTACATTTGGCCGAGGAGATGTTTGAAATCTTTGCCTGCTATTTCCCCATCGATTTTAACCCTAGCAAGGAGGATCCCGAGGCCATAACACGCGATGCTCTCGCCGAGAAGCTAACCCACTGCTTGGTGGCCAGCGAACAGTTTGCCGAATGGACTGTGTCGTTGGCCGTGGAGAAGCTGGACAGCGAGCTAGTTGTGGCCAAATTGGATTCCATTGAGTTGCTGGTAAGCAATTGGCTTATAATAACTGTATATGCCTATATTAATGTCTTTTTGTGGCAGCATCAAGCGGCGCTCAAGTTCTCGCCCGCCGCACTGGAGCCCTATTTTGCGCAAATCTGGCAGGCATTGAAGGCGGAAACCTTTCCTGGCTCTGACAATGCTGATGTGCTGAGATGCGCTCTCAAAGCGCTCGCCGAGCTGCTTAAGAGCGCCGCCAAGGTGCCGAGCATCAGCCACAACTATCAGAGCAATGTGCTGGGCGTGGTGCTGCCCCACTTGAGCGATGTCCACCATCGCCTCTTTCATCCGGCCACTGCCATAGCTCTGATGTGCGTCTCGGGCGATGCGCCCTATGCTGCCGACAAAATTTTGAACACTTTTCTGCTTAAGCTGCAGACGATAGAGTTGAGCATGAAGACCAGCGAGGAGCGCATCAAATTCTATCACATCATCAGTCAGGTTTATAAGCTGGCCGCACTGCGGGACTCGCTGACAAAGCTGGACAAGGCCATACTGCTGCCGTTGCAGGACGATGTCATCGCGGCGCTGCGTCTGTGCGAGCGCGACGATTTCGATGCCAAGCAGGAGGACTTGGAGCTGCAAACGGCAGCTCTGTCAGTGCTCTGCGAATGTGTGCCAGTGCTGAGCGAGGCGCAGCGGGCGCTGGTCTACAAGGCACTCGTGCAGCTAATTAGCCATCCGTACATCGATCTGGACTTTAAGCTGTTGACTGTCAACCTGGGCGCTCTGCATCCCGTGGAGCTGCAGTCCTCCTTTATAGACATATGCATACGAAACTTTGACATATTCTCAGAGTTCATCAAACGTAAAATCTACTCAAATCTGCTGCCCCTGCTGCCTCAGATCGCGTTTACGCAGCGCATTCTCGATCTGGTCATGAAGGAAGTATTCACGCCTACGGTCACCGAACCTGGACGCCTCTTGGCCCTGGAAGCGCTCTCAACGCTGCTCAACCAGGAGGAACAACGCTTCATCGTGGAGCTGCAGCAGCAATCAAATCTGTTGCACCAGCTTATTGAATTGGCGCGTAATACGCCCGCCTTGCCGCTGGCATCGCTGGAGCTGATCGCCGCCGCGCTGAGTCGCATCATGCAGCAGCTGCCACTCTCCGAGCAGAGCGCGATTGTCAGCGAGTATCTGCCGACGCTGGATCTGCAGGAGGCGGCACAGCTGTACGTGGCCAGGGGTCTGCTAGGCTATCTGCACAAGGATATTGCTCTCGATGATCATTTCGAGCGCCTGCTGGACGATCTCACCAAGCTGTCGCTGAGCTCTGACAATGAACAGCTGCGCACCATTGCGCATCATTTGCTCTGCAGCCTGGTGAACAAAATGGACAACACTAAAGAGAATCGCAGCCAAGTGAAACGCATCATACATCAGCTAAAGGAAGCCATCAAATCAGGTGACCAGCGAGCCGTTCACTTGCTCGCCTGGCTGGCCAAGGGTTTAGTGGTGGCCGGTTTCGAGGAGGCTGCCGAAATTATAACTGATGTGAGTATAAATTGATTATAAAAACCGAATTCATTTGCAATTCCCTTTATATTGCCAGCTAACGGATCTGCTGGAGCATCCCACACTGTGCACCGCCGCTGCCTTGGCCTTTGACGTTATTGCTGCCGAGTTCCCGGAATTGGATTTGCCGGTTGTGAAATTCTTGTACAAGCAAAAGTTCTTCCACACCATCATGAACAAGCTGGGCAGCAAGCTATCCAACTACTGTGAGCACCACATGAAGGCGTTCATCTATGTGCTAAAGGCTACGCCCCACTCGGTGATTAGGCTAAACATCAAGCAGCTGGGTCCGCTGCTCTTCAAGACTTTAGACGCGCAAAGCGATGGACAGTTCCTTTGCATAGCACTGAACATATGCAATAACTTTGTGAAGCAGCAGGATGCGTATTTCCAGGCACATCTCGGACACATAATACCCAGCTGCCTAGAGCTGTCCAAGCAAAAGACTCAACCAAACATGGTTTGTTATCTAACATGGTCTAAGGTACTTCAGTTACTAATTCATGCTTCTCTCCATGTTGCAGCAAGTGCGGATCGCAGCGCTGCAGCTGCTCTATGACATAACCAAGTATCCGACTTATGTGCTGCTGCCCCACAAGGTGGACGTGACTCTGGCCCTGGCTGCCGCTCTGGACGATCCGAAGCGTTTGGTGCGTAATGCGGCCGTGAAAGCACGCAACGCTTGGTATTTGGTGGGCGCACCCAGCGGGGATTAGCGATACGATGATAAGCAAATTGTTGTTAGCACTTTGATTCAATTGACAACGAAACCCAAACACGCACAATTGTTAAATACTATGTGTCTAGCTGTGTTCTTTATTGTTGCTGCTTAGTAGGGGTGTTCGCACTGCGATCGCGCCATTAGCGCACATTTCTGTGCGCGCTGCACAACGTCGGGGCAGCGACGCTTCCGCATGAAGCGGCAGTCCTGAAAGAAGCCCTCGTTGCGCGGAAATCCGTGCGTGAAGTCCTGAAAGGTGAGCAGGCCCCAGCCCCAGATCTTGCCGCCACGGAACTCGCCCTCGTACTTCATGCCGTCCGCGCGCCAGAATATGCCGTTGCCATGAAACCAGCCCTGGTGGAACTCCCCCTCGTATCTGTGCCATGCAATCGAAATTGAGCAGAGTGTCGGAGTCAGGCTGCATACTGGGGATACTCACTTGGCGCCGTCGGGAAACCAAAGGCAGCCCAGGCCCTGGCTGAGGCCCTCCTGAAACTGTCCGTCGTAGCGCGTGCCGTCCGCGAACTGCAGATGGCCTATGCCATGCTTCTGGCCGCGTTGGTTCCACTCGCCTATGTAGCGGCTGGCGTCCTCGTAGCGCCAGCCCCCCACCTTGACAGGGCCTCCACTGCTCTGATTTTGGCCTTGTTGATGATAGTGTTGCTGCTGCTGCTGCTGTTGGTTCTCGATGCGTGCTGTGGTTACGCCCACGCTGCTCACTGTAAGGGGTTGCGCTATAATCCTGATGAATGAACCAATTTAGTCCACTTACTGTCATCATCATAGTCGTCCATGGCCATTGCCTTGCCACACGATGCGTTGCAAGCAGCTACTGAGCTTGCACTAACCGTGGCGCCTCCGCAAATGAGGCGCGCTTTCTGTGGCTTCAATGCAGCGGCCCCGGTCCAAATCTAATTAGCATATTGAGCCAACGGCACAGTGGTTTCAGTGTGGGGAAAAATGTGGGAGGCATGTGAACGAACGGGTTCGAATGGGCTCCTTTCCTTAGCTCCGCTTTACGATAGTTTGATTTATATTTGATGTATAAAAGATGGCCGTTTTATTTATTTATTTATTTATTTATTGTTTATTTTAATTTTATACAAAACTAATATTTTTTCTTGAAAGCCTTAATTTTATAAATTGAATTCATTTTCAGCATGATGCAAATATGAGGAGAAATTAATGAAATATAGTAAAGATTTTCAGTTTATCATAAGTGCGCATAATTAAATATTCCAGATATAGTATATCTAAAACAAGTAAATTTAGATTTTTTTGAAAATATTGTTTGCCATACTATCATCGAATTTCGAAATATAGTAAGTATACTAAGCGGAAGAACATTTGATTAATTTATTGTTAATTCTTTTAATTTTAACTTTTGCGAAATGGTGTGAAACAATTTTAATAATTCACAGTCCTCTCGTCCTCTCTCTCTCTCTCTCTCTCTCTCTCTCTCTCTCTCTCTATCTCTCTCTCTCTCTCTCTCTCTCTCTCTGCTAAAAACCGAAAATATAAAATAAATAATATAAAAAAATATATATTTAAATAAATTCAATAATATTAAACATTTTTTTTTAAATTTATATATATGTATATGTAATTTATTTTATTATATTATTATACTTAAAACAAAAATAGGGATTTTATAATTTGTTTTTAATGGCGCAGTGTTTTTATGAAACCAACTTTTTATAAGTGCTCTGCATGCTCCATTATATTTTTTACAGGGTATATCATAAACATAATTGTCGCTTTTAATTAGTATGTCAAGAAATTATTGTAACTTACCTTGTGCAACAATTATTTTACTAATCGAAAATCGAAGATATCTGAAAATTTTACTCTTCATATCTCTTTGCTTTTTAAATGAATAAATATAAATAAAGAATATAATAGGGAGATTCAATTTTTTTATAGGGTATACATATATGGAAAAAGCTCTGAAAATAGCAATATAAATAACTTTACATTTATTTTATTTTTCTAATCAGAAAGTCACCTCAATAATATTATAAATAAATTGCACTTCCTACAGGGTATATAAAGACGAGTATATAACTATATTAATATCTTCCCATTTACATTTCTAGAATATAAGAAAACCATTTAAATTGAAGTCAACTTTCATGGCCATCACAGGTCTCCTCTCATAAGCCACAACAGATTCAGCTCAAAGCGGATTTGGATTTATTTTGACATATTTGAAATTTGCCGCATTTCGTTCACGACTTGAACCAACTGTTGTCAAGCAGCTCGGCTGGCGTTGCCAAGGCTGAGGCGGCCAGGCAGTTGGTTAGCATTGGGCGTAGCCATGGCTACCTCGGGCGGCGCCACAACAAATCCCGGCTAGAAATTTTCGCAGAGCTCACAAAATGCTGCATCAGGGGATAATCTTGCGCGAGGGACACGTGACGCGCACCATCTACACTCTGGTGAGTCTTCAGTGTAGGCCAGAAAGAGAGGCAGCTCATCTATCGATCGTTCTTCGCTTAGATCAAGGATAAGCGCTATGAGGATGTGATCGAGTGCATTGCGAACTGCGGCGAGGCGGCCAATACGCGGGCAGCACTCTCCACGCTGGGCCACTGCTACTATCATGCACAGAAGTACGAGGAGGCGGCCAGCTGCTACGAGCAGCTCTGCCAGCTGGTGCCCAAGGAGGCCAAGTACAGGTGAGCAGATGAATCACCATTTATATAGATATATAGGTGTATATGTGGACAACTCCTGCTCAGATTCTACTACGCCCAGTCGCTCTACCAGGCGGGCATCTTTGCGGACGCCTTGCGTGTGCTGAAGCAGATCGGCGACAAGGAGCTGGAGCTGCGCGAGCAGTGCCTGCAGCTGCAGAGCGCCATACTCTACTCCAGCGAGGACTATGCCGGCGCTCAGAGTCTGCTCAATCAGCGCGCGGGCGGCACAGCCGAAACGCTCAACGACGAGGGCTGCCTGCTCTATCAGGCGGATCAGCACGAGCTGGCGGTGCAGCGTTTCCAATCGGCCCTGCAGGTGGGCGGCTTCAATCCCCTGGTGGCCTACAACGTGGCCCTCGCCCACTTTCAGCGGAAGCAGCGCGCCCAGGCGCTGGACTACACGTCGGAGATTGTGGAGCGCGGCATGCGGAATCATCCGGAGCTGGGCATCGGCGCCCAGGTGGACACCGATGGCAGTGCGCGCAGCGTGGGCAATCCCATTACCATGGCCATGTCGGGCATCACCCAGGCGCTCAACCTGAAGGCTGCCTTGGAGTATCAGGATGGCAATGTGGAGGCGGCACGGGAGGCGCTGCTCGACCTGCCGCCGCGCGCGGAGAGCGAACTGGATCCGGTCACGCTGCACAACATGGCACTGACCGATGCCCAGGGTCCCGTTGCCGGTCTGCGCAAATTGGCCTTCCTGCTGCAGCTGGGCGCGCCTGCCTGCCCGAAGGAGACGTTCGCCAACATCTTGTTGATTTGCTGCAAGCACGAACTGTACGACACCGCCGCCGACATTCTGGCCGAGCACGCGGACCTCACCTACAAGTACCTGTCGCAGTATCTGTACGAGCTGCTGGACGCACTGATCACGGCCCAGACCAGCGGCGAGCTGGCCGAGAAGAAGCTGGGCACGCTCGCCTCCAGCCTGTCGGGCAAGCTGCGCAGCCTGGCCGCCCGGGTGCAGGAGGTCAGAGCAACCAGTGAGCAGCAGGCGCTGCGCGATGCACTCAAGGACTACGAGCAGGCGCTGGAACTGTAGGTGCCTCAACCCGAAGCTTATCGTCCAAATACTCATGATCTGCTTTGTTGCTATAGCTACTTGCCGGTGGTCATGGCTCGTGCCTGGATCTCCTGGCGCGAAGACGACTTTCTGGGCGCCGAGCGCGAGTTTCGCTCCAGCGCCGAGTTCTGCTCGGAGAACGCCATCTGCTCGGTTTGGCGCTTGAATGCCGGCCATGTGCTCTTCATGCAGGACAAGTACAAGGAGGCGGCAGCCTTCTACGAGCCCATTGTGCGCCAGCACTCGGATGATGTAGGCTATCATCATTCCCCACTCTCACTCAATTCTCTCTATACTCTCTCTCTCTCTCTCTGCCTCTCTCTTTGCAGATTATGTCCGTTTCCGCTGCGGTGCTGGCCAATCTCTGTGTGTCCTACATCATGACCTTCCAGAATGAGGAGGCCGAGGAGCTGATGCGCAAGGTGGAGAACGCAGAGGAGCTGAAGGGCAACCAGGGCAAGCAGTATCATCACCTGTGCATCGTCAACCTGGTCGTGGGCACCCTGTACTGCGCCAAGTCCAACTACGAGTTCGGCCTCTCGCGCATCGCCCACGCCCTCGAGGGCGGCTCGGGCGCACGCCTCTACGCGGACACCTGGCTGCACGTGAAGCGCTGCATACTGGGCCTGCTGACCGGCATGGCCAAGCAGAACATCATCCTGCCCTATGCAGCCGTGCAGGAGGTGCTGAACTTCCTCAAGTCCTGCGAGGCTTACGGCCTGTTCACGCCCGCCAATATCTATACGGCCACGGAGCAGGCACCCAGCGAGCCGCTGACCATCGGACTAGAGGCTCGAAAGCTGAGACTCCTGCTGATCAAGCTGAGCGAATATGAAAATTATTGAGTAGCTTCTCCGAGTTCTCCTGTTCGAGTGCATGTCAAAATAAAGATTATCTCCCTCTCCAATTCCCCGATTAAATAGACTCTCCTCTTGGTTTCTTTACAATACGTAATTGAAGTTTATTTCAATATTTGCTGCGCTGTCGAAGAACATTTTATATGATGGTTGCTAATGGATTACAATTGGATTACACGTGATTGGGATTGGATTATGTAGCGAAATGATAAAACTGTTGGGTGTCCTCGGAACGTAAAATGCAAACTGCAAACTGCAAGCCAAAAGAATCTTGTGCTGTAGCTCAAACAAAGCTATATTTATATGTATATATTAGCATAGAGTGGTATAGAGCTGGGCAAGCTTAGGCCAGCACCGCCGAGGTGGCCATCTCGCTGACGCCGCAGGTGTTGTCGCCACGGTAGACGCGATAGTAGCCCTGCTCGCCCCAGCGAGGGCCCCACGAGTTCTTAACGATCCAATAGGGCAGCGTCTTGTGGAAGTTGGGATAGTCGGAGACGCCGTAGCCCACAATCAAAACGCCGTGATCGAGATTCTTTTTGCTGCAGAGCGGGCCCCAGGGATGAGAGACGCCGCCACGATAGAACTGCATGGCATTGGCATTGAGGCCTGAAACAGAGAGTGATATATATATATATATATATATATCAATCGAATGAAGAACCTCTCAAAGACCAACTACGCACCAATTGATATGGGTCCATTGGCCAGGAGCCACTCCTGCATGGCTGTCTCGTTGCCCTTGGGCAGATCGACAAAGTCAGCGACTTGGACGTGGGATAGCGTCTTGTTGAAGTGGCACTGCTTCTTCTTGGCCAGATAGGGATACTCGGACTCGTACTCCAGCCCGCCAATGTCCTTGATGGCTCTATTTTGGAGGATTACCAATAAGCCCAGTTTACATTGGCATTGCTCAGCAGGGATTACTCACTTGTAGGCGTTGTCCATTAGGCCGCCATTGCAGGCGCTGTCTGTGGAGTCACAGTCGAGCAGCTCCTGCTCGGAGAACTCCCGCAGCTCACCCGTTTGAATGGCATACAAGCCCTCGATGTTGCCGGTCACACTGAACGCCCAGCAGGAGCCGCACGAGCCTTGGTTCTTCACTTGAGTCACGGCATTCTTTTCCCTCCAGTCAAATTCCTTGGGCAGTTCACCCTTATACGGAGGCACCACGGCAGGCTTGCCGCCCGTTGGCTTATTCGCGCTGCGCTGCCACAGGCCCGCGCGCTGTGTGTACTCCGTGCTGGTCATGTCGGCGAACTCCGTGATGCCGTACTTGGCACTGCCCTGCTCATTGTCGTTCAGCTCCTGGATGGTTCTCAGATTCTGGCGGAAGATGCGCAGACGCATCTGGTGCTCCATGCTGTTGGCGTAGCGGCGCTTGTATTTGATCTGGAACACGTGGAACAGATGGTCGATCTTGTTGAGGGAGTGGTGATTGTGCTTCTTGTGCGTCTTCTTCTCGGCCCATTCCACGGAGCGGCTGTGCCGCGCATGCACCGCCGGCTGGTTGTGGCACTTGAACGTTATCTTATGACCCTGCTCCAGCCACGGCTGTGCCCAGATCTCAACGATGCAGCGACGCTGCTCATCGTTGCCGTCAATCAGATCCGCATCGATGCGAGTCAGAGTGCCAGAGACAAGCTGACGCGACGCCGTATAGACTTTGACAATCCTGTTGGAGAAGGGATCTCTTCTTAGGGACTGTTCATAAGAGAATGCCAGAATTTTATAGATATTTACTTGTAGTGCGGTCCGTCGCCAGCGGTTAGCTTGTCAAGAGTCTGCTGGAGCTGCTCCTCGGCCTGCTTCTCGTCAAAGGGCTTGCTGCCGCCCAGGGGCACATCGTTCAAGCCACGCCTCTCGCGGGAGACCTGCAAAATCCAAAAAGAAGCAGGGAATAGCTATAGTCCTAGACCTCTAAAAGAATCGCAAGACAATCAAAGCAATCGAATTATATTCACGACATATTTATTAATTCTATATTTTCTAATTTAGGTATCCCATTTTAACGATCTCTATTAGGCTCGGACGAAAATTTGGTTTTCATTATGCTCATCTAGAATCCGCACTCGGCTGGTATGATATAGTCGTCCATGACGCGAACGCGGCGCAGCTGACCCCGTGAATCGACTCCCACTTGACCCACGTCCGACTCCAACTTTTGCTCGTATTCAAGACGCTGCAGATTCTTCTCGCGACGACGCACAACCATCGCAGCCGCGGCGAGTCCTTCGTGACGCAGCCAGCTGGACATGATCCAAATGCTGCGCAGGCGCAACAACAGCGAAGTTGTCTTCATCTCTAGTTTCTCGCTCTGCTTCACACACTATCTCTCCCTCCCACTCGCACACACTGCCTAGCGCTCACTCAATTTATATAGGGTACTCCTCTCTGTGTCTCTACCGTAAAATTTTTAAGAATTCTTGAGCAACTCAAGGGGAATCACCTATAAAAAAATCAACGTAAAACGAATATAAAAATATTATTTAACAAGATGTGTGCTATATTTTTTTTTTGGGCAGTGTAAGCTTTTGTTGTTCAACTGAACAAGTTTTAAAAAATATTAACCTCAGTTCGGCTACGAGCTGCGCTTGCTGAGAGCTGTACAAATTTAAGAGAGAGAAACGAAAAAAACCCAAAAAGTAAACTGAACGAATCGATTGCCTCACTAATCTCTCAATGATAGCTAAAGCAAGCTGGCTGGCTGACTGGCTGGCAGGAAGCAACAAACCATTTAGCCAGCTCGGATGCGAATAACAACAATGGCGTGGCATGAGGCGGCATTTCACCCTTTGGGGGCTCTCGCAGAGACACATGTGGCATATAAAGCATTCAATGGCAAACGCAAAACCAATTAAACCAAACATTTTTGGCTGGAAATTCGTTGCCTGCTGGCAGATTATTGTTGAAGCAGCTAGCAGGAGGAGCAGGAGGAGCAGGTGTCGGGCGATGCCTACCAAAGGTACACTACCTCTACAAATATGTATAAGTGTATGTGTGTGAGTGTGTGTGTGTGTGTGGGTGGTTGTGTGTAATTGACGTAGCAGCTGGAGCAGGAGCTGGAGCTGGAGCAACCATTGCAGGTGTGGAGCAGCTAGTTGGTGAATGCAATGACAACAATACGAAATGAAATGTAATGGCAACGACGTGTGTATAATTAAAAAGATTGCCAGGCCCAAACGGGGCTCGAACACGGCGGCGGTGGAGCTTGAGCAACGGCAACGGCAACGGCAACGGCATTGGCAATAGCAGCAACAGCGCAGGATTCTGTTTCCGTTTGACCTGTCGCGACATGAATTCATTAAGTTGCCTGTTTTATACTCGCTCACGATGCGCTCGGGGGAGTATATTGACTCTTTCAATATTCGTTTGCGAAGCGAAAGACATAATGTGCAAAATATATTGATCTTGCCTGCTCTAGTGGGTGGGGAGTCTATATATTTATATGCTCCCTTTTCATGCTCGCTCGCGTTGTGTCAAGGGGTATACATAGACAGACATATTACCTTTTACTATATTTTACAGCTGTGAGTGGAGTCTTTCTAGCTTAATGCTAGATTATCTTGTTATTTAATGTGTTAATGAGTATATATACTTCTATACATGAGTTCTATAAAATTTAGCTTGAAGCAATAGGAATATATTAGGGCTATTCCACTCGATTAGGTAGGGGGTGAAGGGTATATAATTTGACTTGCTTTTCAATATATAAGAATATATTTTCCGTTTTCACACTCGCTCACAATGAAAATTATCATAGGTATATACACCTGTATGTAGAATTTTCCAGTACTTCTCGGCGAATTGAAAGTCATAATGAGCATTTCGTTTTAATGCTAGAGGCTATTGGTGTTTAATACTTGCTCAGCTATTCGTTAATGAGTATACACAGGTAGATGGGGTTTCCCAAATATTTCATCTCAAAGTAAAACGAATACAGTAGGGCCTTAATGCTCGCTCGCATGTAGGGTGTGTAGTACATAGGGTTTTCATACTCGCTCACATAAGGAGTATATTAAACTGAAGCCTGTTTGTCTATATACTTTTCCAACTTGACAATTTGATAGTGAGCCTTGAGCAAGTATCATGCAGTCGGTAGTGCTATGGGTTTTCACTTGCTTTTGGGTCAGTCAAGCACTCCCATAGGGTCCCATCCTTGCGCTCCCACTGTCCTTGTCACATTCTGTTGTTCAATAACTATTAAAACGAAAATTATGTCCCGGCCACTCGACAATTTTTGTATGCGCACTAAATGGACCGTGAAATGCAGTCGGAATAGGTGGAGAACGGAGTGCTCGCTACTCGATTGAATTCGCTAATCCCGCAGATTAAATGTCAAATTCAATTCAGTTTGCAGTGTTGCCTGGCCCGATTACCGATGTGATTTATTAGATTCATCCATCCATATACTATGTATACGCAATGATGATTCATGCATCAGTGATGATTCACTGAACCCATTGAAAAGTGGGTTAAGCAGGATACTCGCATGTTTATTTGAGCAGAGCTCGAGTGCTCTAAAAGCTGGAGTATTTATAATTAATGGGTAAGCTCTACTAAAGTATACTCTGATAGCGAAAATTCTCTTTGCTTATAGCTCTATTCATAACTCGACAGAATTAAAGATGAATTAAAGATGAGAGCATTGGAGAAATATTCCCATACAAATACTTGATGTAAACTGATATTCATTCTTCTATCTTCTAGCCAAATATACCCCACTTGAGTGGGAGTAGGGAAACTTAATTTACCGTAGAAAATGAGCTAGGCGCCTACTCTAGTTAAATATATTCCAAATTGTTTATATGCCAGCTAGTGTATATAATATTCGAGTTTTCGCATAAACACAAATCCCCACCGGGTGCTATTTGAATTCTTCGTCTTCTATTTGACGCAGACACTGTGCAATGGCCGCTGCGTCAGTTGGGTGTTAAAAGTAGAGCATCAAGGATAATGAGAGCACTTTTCCACAGAGCAGTGTATGCTGCTAAGGGGCACACACACACACACACATACACGCAAGCACACACACTTACAAACAGAGAGTGCGGCACTTGAGGTGAGCTCTCTAAGATATGTACACACCCCCACTCACACATACATATATGCATATTTATATAGACAGTTGCGGACGGGGCGGGGCGAATGCGACACGGGCCGGGTTAAACAGATTGCGGCCGTAATTTGAAAGCGAAAACTCATTTGATTATTAAGCTGAAATAAGTGGTGGGCGGAGGCGCACAGATGCTGGGTGGGCGGGCCAGTCACTGAGAGGGCTTCTCGCTTGGTTGGACTATGCCAACAACGCACAGGTGTGTGTGTGCGTGTGTGTGTGTGTGAGCTTTTGTGTTTGTGTGTGTGTCTGTTTGTGGTGCACAGGTGAGAAAAACGAGCAGCTTAAATAAATTTAATTAAATAACATTTTCTTTTTTATTGTTTGCATTTACTTTACGAGTATTTTTAGAAATGGGAGTATATAAAACAGAGGGGAGGCGGGTGTAACTGGGTGATTGTGCGTGTGTGTGTGTGGGTGTGAGAGTGTATGATAATAATATTCATATCTCATGATGGTTAAGATAATGAAGACTGCTGTGCATCCTGCTCCTGCTGCTGCTGCTGCTCCTGCTGCCGCTCCTGCTCCTGCTGCTGCTGCTCCTGCTCTGTCTGCTCCTGTTGCTGCTGCTCCTCCACTGGTTCCTGCTGCTGCTCCTCCACCGGTGCCGTCTCTTCTCTTTGTTGTTGTTGCTGCTGTTGCTGTTTCAACTCCGAGCGCTGCTCCTCGATAGTTTTCTCAAAGTTAAACGCACCCACTGATAGAAAATCGTCCAGCCAACGCTTCTCATTTTCATTGAGCTCCGCTGTAGGCGTGGTCATGGCAATAGACGCCGCCGCAGATGTGTTGGCATCCCCCGTGTCGCTCTCAACGTCAGCTGCGGCTGCCTCGTTAACGTTAATTGACGTTGCGGGCTCATTAGTGGGCACCGCTTGTGGGGGCAGAGCTGTGGTGCTGCTGGTGGTGCTGGTGCTTATTGAGCTGCCCCTGCCGCTGCTGCTGCTGCTGCTGCTGCTAACCCGTCGCTTATTTTCGTTTGTCAATATTTGGGCTTCCAGATGAGCCATATCGCTGTCACTCAACTCGTTGCGTCGCCCGCCATTGAAGATAGTGTTACTCACATATTTCTCGTTGAGCGCCTTGGCCCGCTCATCGGGATCGGTCAGGGCATTGTCGGCCACATCGCTGCAATTGGTGTTCACCAGCTCCCGGTGCTTGTCGCCCCACTGGGTGGTCAGCCAGGGCTTCTCCAGTATCACCAGGCGGCAGATCGTGTCCGCATCGTTGGCCTTTGTGTCCACCGCATTCAACAGTATTTCGTAGCGCACACCATTCACAATTTCGCGAAAGGCATCGATGATGTTCACAAAATTCATCGAGAGGGGCAGAAAGGACATCGCTATGTTCTGCACGCCAATCAAATTGGGCGAGAGATATTCTCGCTCTCCAGGATTCAGCACATGGACCAATTTGATGGGCGGCTCGCTGATCGCCTCATCAGCGCTCTCTGTCTGTGTGTGTGTGTGTTGGTGTGTGTGTGTGTGTGTGTGTGTGTGTGTGTGTGTGTTTGTGTGTGGCAAAGACAAAAACAGAAAGCAAAACACAAATTCGTTTAAGGAATATACACACACAAAGAAATTAAGAGAGAAAGAGAGAGAGAGAGAAAGAGCGAGGAAGAGTGAGACCTCTAGAAGCATGAAGCATTAGCCTTTATGACAATACAACAGAAAGCCATGTGCCAAGCGTTAAATGTGCTTGTGTATGTGTGTGTGCGAATGTATGTGTATGTGTGTGTGTGTGCCAACACCATGAAGCAAAAGCTTTTGATTAAATAAAGTGCTTAGACATAGCATAGAGCCCATGTTGATATAATCATTAATATTAGCTGGGTGGTTGCATTCGAAGTGTTAATAAAGCCAAAGCAAAATTGTTCAGGCCGATGATTGACTGATTGACCGCTTGATTGATTGAGGCCACGCGTAAAGCTGAAGCTGAATTCGTTGTCTTCTTTTTTTCAGTTTAGGCTTGGTCTACCTGACATTTTCATCTTCATAAATCTATTCATAGTAAAAGCCCCTACACACTCTATATACTCATACAATCAAAGAGTGATATTAATTAGTTAGTTAATTGCATATAGACTAGCTTATATACGCTGCTCAACAAATTGTTGCCCAACCAATGGAAGACAAATTGCTATATATACATACATATGTATATCTATATATATAATACATATTCAAGTGAATTATAGGTAAATCAGATTATGGAACCACTCAAGCTACTACGGCTTAATGAACTTAAAATCTGGGATGTCGAATTGTAAATCGATAGCGAGATAATTAAGAAATGATTTGAAAACTGGCAACTGCTTTAATGGCTTGTCAAGCAAAGCCTGCAGCTGGCCTCCCACTTGGCTGCCCCGCCCGCCTTTGCTTTTGGCCGGCCTAATGAACTCAGCATAATTGCAATTACATTGCGGCAAAAGAGGTGTGAGAGAAGAGGGATAGAGTAAGGGAGAGAGAGAGAGCGATAGATGTAGAGTAAGCAGCGCGAAGTGTGTGTGTGTGTGTGTGCTGTGCTGTGCAGAGGAGATATTTTGGCCAATCAAGTCAATCAGTGGAGCAACGCTTCGCTGAGCTTGTGGCAGGTCACAAAAACTAATTAACCACCGATGCAAACTGTGACCGCCTCACTGTAGACCTCCCGCTCCACTACTCCCTAACCTCCCCTCCCTACGTCCCACTCTATCTCTCTCTCGCTCTCTTTATATATCTGCTCACACTCTTAACCACTTGCCACATCGCAGCACATCGAAAACGGGTTTGAGGATTGCAACAACAAAAATTCATCGATAAATGATGAGCCGCAAAATGCAGCAAACAGACGGCAAGCGGCAGATGGTAGCCGGGCCAAGTCGATGCTGAATAATTTACGGAACTTAAAGCATAAAAAGCATACAACAAACCCAACTAACCGCGAGATGGGAGTGAGGCGGAGGGGGGGAGTACGGGGCGAGCGAGAGCCGAGATTGCATAGCAGACAGCTTGTTGACGTTTCGGTCGTTCATCCTCATTGCGGCTGACGTTTTGTGTCTGCAGCGTGACAAAAAGCCGAAAAATGCATAAAAAAAACTTTTTTTTTTGACAGCGATTGCGTCACTAAAGCAGTCAACGCCAGCAGCGGCAGTGGCAGCGACAGAGAAGCCAGCTCCAGCATCAACTAGGTTGATGCCTTGCCTGACGTTTGAGCTGATTATGCTCTACGCGGGCGGGGCTGCTGAGTGGGCGGGCGGGGGGCTGCCTGATGCTTGGCCAAGTTGATTCGGTCTTGGCATTGTTGACGCAGTTAGCTCTCGCTGCTGCTGCTGCTGCCTCTGCTGCTGCTGCTGTTGCTGCTGCAGCTTGTTTGCAGCTTGTTTTTCAATTAAACTTTACGGCACTTTAAGCAACACCCCAAAGTTGGTATAGAAACCAAGTAGGGAATGCATGCTCGACTTGAAGGTACCCAGTATAAAAGCTAGACAGGTCTAATACTAAAATTTATATATTTATATTTATATTTATATTTATATTTATATTTATATTTATATTTAT